GATGCTCCAGTCTGATCGCTCAAAATATATCGCAAAATGTCGGTAATGTAAAGTTATAGTGTCGCATTTGCTGGTTTTACAGTAGGAGTTCTGTAGGAGGTACACAATGATTTGTTTGTTGGTGTATGCAAATGTATGTGTAGCTTTTAGATGTGATTTTGTGTTGCTTCCCCAAGACTATTCACTACAAACCCCTTTCCTTGCTTGCCTTTTTCTTTCTAAATTTAAAGTAAGACATATTCCTCAGTTGGAAAAATACCATATGTGAAATTCTAAAGAGATTTGTGTATCGATACAGAGATACACAAACAGACTATTGTGGAACATGTTCAACAATTATTTCAAACATATTAATTTATTAACAAAAAAAGAATATTTCAAGCTTTAATTGTTTTTTATATAATGCTTTCACCATGTTCTGAAATGACAGAAACAAACATGTAACTAATACACAATGTAAAATGTTTGTTCAGTAAGTCTGTTAGAATGTATTGTTCCCTTATTTCAGTACATAAAGTGCATTCTCGATCAATAAACAATATTTATTACATGTAGAGATTATGCCAAATAAAAAACATGTAGTAGCAGACTGCAGCAGTACTGAATTTAGAAGCACGGCTAACAACTTGGAGCATTGCCCAAGTAACATTTGACAAACTTTGTGGTTCATTCTTGACTCATTTAGTGTCTTTTTATTCAATTCAATTCCATTTATTTATGATTAGCCCTTAATCACAAAAGCAGTCGTTTTGGAAGACTTTAAAAGGTTGTCAATTTGCCAACAGCAGATCAGAGAATCAACCTGATCGAACCTAGGAAATGCAATAAAAACAAACACACTGTGTCCATAGGGTATCACTGTGACCAATGTCCATAAATGTCATTTCTGGATGCAGGAGGATTTTGTCAAAACTATCAATATTTTGACATAATCTTCAAAGGTTGTTAAATTGCTTTTTAAGAGTTAGATATAAAAGTGAAAAGTAGCCAGAACAGGAAATAGTAATTTTATAGATGCTACAGAAGAAAAACACTTTCTTATATATTCTTTTCATTTTACATTATTAAATGCTGTGAGAAAATTGTATCCTCGAGCTGCACCCACGATTTTGTTCCAACTCAAAGTCGTGACATAACTGGGCTTTATACACTGTACGACTCTAAGATTTGAAAATGAGAAAAAAAATACTTGGTGCAGCCTATTCAGCAGTGAGCAGACAGTAGCATATTGTATATTTTGGCATTCAAACGAGAAACCAACTCATCATAATCTTTGTTTTACACATTGCAGCCAATAAACTGTCTCCCCCAGCTGTAACTTGTTGCTGCAAGTCGATAAGGTCTTTTACCCTATCTCCGCTCAAATCAAGTTGCAAGATGGCTTCACTCCAAATCTCCCTCCACGCTACAGGCCTTCTCTCTCCATATGCATTTTACTCCAAACACACACGCACAGATACGTACAGTCGGTTTGGCTGTAGCATCCTCTGCTCGCATGTGGGTGGTAGAAGGAGAGCAGAGGAGCAAAAAGAAAAAGACAGGCCTAACCCTTTCCCCTCGGCTTCTGGAAAGTGAAACTTGTGAGTTTTCTTCTTCCTCCCCCTCCACACAGTGTTTGATAGCCTAGCACTGGCAGCCTCTGTGTGCCCCCCTGCCCACTCGCTCCCGTTTGTGTAGTTTGTGGTGGCCAGCTGCTTGCGGAGTTGCAGTTGTAAGTGAGTGGGTGGGTGAGACTGGTTTCCTGTGCTCCTCAGGGCTTCACTCCAACCACTGCAGCAGCAACACAGTCCGGCAAGGGGCAAGCAGGGCCACAATTCAAAACAAAACTGCTTCTCTGTATACCACCGCCGCTACTGCTACTGCTACTGCCACTGCCTCCTCCACTGCTCATCTTTCACCATCACAACCTCAGCCATCTCCATCTTCATCATGCTCCTCACCCTCATCCACTCCCTCCACGACTCTCACCCCCTACGAGCAGAGCCCCCTCGGCGATCTGGAGATGGAGGAGGTTTCAGACGGCCCAGAACTTCCTTCCTTGTCCCAGGTAAGACCTCTCTGTGTGAGTTAGCTTCGGGCTTGTTTGTTCTTTCTGTTTCCTTGAATCAGATGTCAAACTGAAAGGGCAGGGCAAAGGCCATTGTAAAGCATATACATATAGTACATTTATATCTGTTTCCATGGAGATGTTCTTGAATTGAATGGAATATCCCATAGTGCAAAACTTTCTTGCTGCAACTTTTGCCAAGTTTAGAAAGTGATTATAGATTCATCATAAAAACACGACGTTGAAACACCTACATATGATTGGATCGTTTCTTTATAAATACAGAATTCGGGCTTATAAAACAAATGTGTCTTTCACTGCAGCGCTAGTCTCCAAAACAGACACCGGACGTCAGCCTGGTCATTTAATGCATAACCCATATTACAGGCTGTTTAAACCCACTACCACCCCCTGATAATACACGTTTTTACTGCTCGCCTCGCCACCGATCCGATTAGTTGGTATGAACATGCTTTTCGGCAAAATCCAACCTTTATTAAAGCTGTAGGTTCTCTGTCAGCTGAGGTCGAGCAATTTCAGTTTACATTGAGTTCTATGGGGAACATTTCTGGGTAGCCCGCACGAATTTAGTCTTGTTTAGTCTGCAGGACCGCGAGAATCCCCCGAGCACATGCGTTCTTCAGCTCCAAGCAAGTAACACCCTATCCTGATATTTGTATAGATCCAAGAGCAGCTGACTCCACCCAGTTCCAGGAGTAGACTGGACTCACTAGACAAAACGGGTGGAGTCTGCTGTAGTCATGCTTGGTTGGAAAAAAACCTGCAGCCACACCGGCCCTTTGAGGACCGAGTTGAACACCCTTGCTTTGACCCATAAACCCAATAAAACATTGATCCTGGACTGTTTTTACTTGGTGATACCAGATCATCCATAAAAGTGCATTCTTGGTGGTGAGACTGCACTATTCTTGTGTTGACTGCAATGTATGGCAGTATAGTTTTAAAGTGTTCCATCTACATTTCATACAAGCTTTACCAGGCCAGGTTACAAGACATATCTGCAGAAAGACGAGCTCATGCAATAGAATAATTCAGAATAATTTACGATAATTATGAGCAGTTTGGTTAAACATAGCATGGAAATTCCAAGTAACGCTATAACATCTCTTTGCTGAAGCCGACTGGAACCTCATCCAAAAAGTTGTGCATTGCATTAGTTACAATACCTTTAAAATAATGAATTGTGTTGTTTATCATGAAGGCTTTTTTGTGTGAAAGTCAATATTTTCTTCACGCATCTTATCGCGTTTGTTTCCACTGTGTTTTGTCTTTTGTGTTTGCTCCATTCCCAATCCTTCTTTTCAGGTCACTATTTTATCTTACAGTTTTTGTCCCTTTTTCTTACAAACACCGTATTAATAAAAGCTAAATATAAAACACTGAAGCAAATGTCACAATGGCCGAGATGGCAGATTGTGGGTTTGAGAGGAGAGAAAAATCAATATAAGGAGACAATGTGAGGTCTCCACTCGTACTGGAGGAACTTCTTTTATTTTTTCTCTCTTCTATATTTTATTATGGAGGTGGCAGACAGCATTGGACTTTAGTGAAATGTGTAAAACCAGAGTATGTGAGAGGGAATGTTGAGGTCAGTCGTCTTCTGCCTGTGTGGACAAGCCATCTGCTGTCCGGTGCATAGTGTCCTGTTCTTGGAGGAGCAGAGGGAGGGAGGAGGATTGACCGGATGAGCTTAAGAAGTGTTGTTAGATGGGATAGAGTCTTGAGAAGGAAGGCTAACAGAAGGGTGATTAGTTAAGATATTAAGCGCTAACTGTTATACACACAGGTCAGCTTTTTACGTCATGTGTTTTGCTTTTTTTTCTCAATTCCATTTTTGACTTCATTTAACAAAAGTAGACACATACACAGTTCCAAGGCAAAGATCTGTATTTATAACATGACCCAAAACCCAAAAAGACGTTGCCTTTAATTGCTGTGTAGCACTTATCCAAACGACAATGGTGCTTTACAGAGCTGTCGTCAACCACTGATGTCTTTTTTCGACTGAAGACACGCTCAATCAACTATAAAGGGGGCGTGGCCAATGCTTGGTCAATGATTATACATCTGACCCAAGCTTGCATTTACTGAAAAACAACTATTTACGAATATAATCACTGGAATATTTCGGGATTTATAAACATGAATGGATTGTGTGTGCATATGTTTTGTAGTCATACCAACAAAAACACACTACAATTCTATTCACATGTTCAAAACAGAGAAAAAAGAAGCAAAGAATATCTGGCCCTACTAAAATATTCAGCCATTTGTTTCCATATCTATGTATTTTTTCTGTTTTCACATGCTTACTATAATCAACAGAATAGTGACTAGTTGATGCTATTAAGTAAAAAATGTAACTTACAGACAGAGGGACAGCTTTTTTTATGCGTGTTTCTTTTTTGTTTATGTAACAAGCATGAACCTACTTAAAGTAATGAATCGGCTCATACAGCATATAGGAGCCAAATATGTGTTTTTCTTTGCGTAATTGGTCTTTGTGTCCATGAGGGGGCGCATTCATCTTTTATATGAATCATGAGCTCAGGGTTGAGTGCAGGTGTGACCCAGAAGGGCAAATTGGTTTTTGACCGCACAAGCGGAGTTTGTTTTTCACTGTTTCTCGTGTGATACCACTGTGGATCCTTTTAATAGCACTGTTAAATAAATGAAGATTATTGCATCGTACCTTTTGAAGACTTGGAGGATTTTATTGAGCACAACAGAGCAACCACAGCATAGCCGCTTAGCGCGTCATCAACAAGCCTGGGTCTACAGCCTCACACTAGCAGCATTGGGCTGGCTATTATACTGTCAAAAACCAGCCGATTTGACTGCGCAAATGAAGTAAAGTAAACTTTGGAAGAAGAGACTTTGGAAACGTGGAGCCCGTACACGAGCCACGGGGTGGAGCGGTGGTTGCGGTTATATGCGGCTACGTGGAGCAGACCGAGCTACAGGACCGAGCTGCAGGACCGAGCTACAGGACCGAGCTGCAGGACCGAGCTACAGGACCGAGCTACAGGACCGAGCTGCAGGACCGAGCTACAGGACCGAGCTACAGGACCGAGCTGCAGGACCGAGCTACAGGACCGAGCTGCAGGACCGAGCTGCAGGACCGAGCTGCAGGACCGAGCTGCAGGACCGAGCTACAGGACCGAGCTGCAGGACCGAGCTACAGGACCGAGCTACAGGACCGAGCTGCAGGACCGCGCACCGCAGATCATCGCTGGACAACATTGGATCACACAAAGGCGCCCAACGATCGAGGTATGTGTAGCGCTACACCCAAGGCCTTTTCTGTGTGCACACATTAAATCCAATGCATTGGTAACGCCGTGGAATATATCTGAACTCGTTCACGCGTTCGGGAGCCGTCACGTGACTATTTGACCTACTTTCGTGTTGTGTCCTCGGGTGAACTCTATCGCGAACCTGAGCTGTCGCGAGACTTTATTGCGTCTACACGAAGATAACTTTCACTGGATCTTACAATGTTGGAAATGGACAAAAATGTTGAACAGGGTGATAATGAAGTGGAAAGTCACAAGCGCAGCATTAAGTTAACTGAAAAGGCATTAGCTGAGAAAATGGATAAGTTACAGAATACAAGAAAGTCTAAACTAAATAAAGCAGGTAACATTCGAAATGAGCTAAAAGAGTTTATGTCTGAGTGTGATAAAACAAAGGTTTTAAATGCTGTTGATGAATTAAGAATTGTGTGTGATGATGCACAGAGGTTTCATGAGACATTGTTGGGTTTAATGTCAACTGAAGAGGGTGACAAACATGAAGTATGGTTCAGAGCTAAAATGCTCCCAAATAATGAATGTTTTTCCACTGTAAAACAATGGCTCTCTCAAAATGAAACTAACAAAGATAATGAAAATGTGGAAATTACTCCAGCAGACAGTGTGTCAAATGCAGGAAGTTACCAAAGTAACAAAAGCAACAAATCAAATTCATCTGCTAAATTAAAGGCAGCAGCAGAAAGGGCTGCAATCCTGGCACGTGTGAAAATATTAAAGGAGAAACACGCTATCGAGGAAGAGGAGGCTAAGCTTCGTAGAAGGAAGGAAATGTTGGACTTGGAAGCTGAATTGGTGACCTCCGAAGCAAAATTGGAAATGTACAATACTGAGGAGGAGCGCCATTCCCAAGTAAATTCAAATGCAAAGGCCACAAGCATTAAAGGAGCAACATGGAACACTCTAAACCCTTCTGCCAATTCATTCATTCCTCAGGGCAAAGCTACAGAAACAAATGAAATAAATCAAAATGTCCGCCACACAGCAGTAAAGGGTAAAATAATGGATTCAAGACCAAAGGAAAAACCTGCCATCATCCAACAGCACCACCAAGTGAAACTCAATCAACCCACAATGGAAACTCAAATGGATATCAAACAAAATGAATCTTTATCACACATCAGTTTACAGTGGCCTGCAGAGCTTCTCAACATTATGAGCAAACAAACTGAAATCACTGCAGCTCTAATGAATCAGCAGCGATCCATGACACTTCCCCCAAGAGACATTCCTATCTTTGATGGTGACCCACTACATTACAAACCATTTATAAGAGCATTTGAACAAGGTGTGGAAAGCAAAGCCTCTGTGGCCGACAGCTTGTACTATTTGGAACAATTCACCCGGGGACAACCCCGTGAACTGGTGTGCAGTTGCCAGCATATGCCACCAGATCGTGGATATGTTGTGGCCAAAGCTCTATTACAAGACCACTTTGGAAATCCATACAAAACCGCTACTGCATATATTCAAAAGGCTATGTCATGGCAAAATATAAGAACTGATGACACAAAGGCACTCCAGAGCTATGCCCTCTTTCTTCGAGGCTGCTGTAACATCATGGAGGAGCTTGAGTACATGCAGGAGCTGGATATGCCAGTAAACATGAGGGCTATCCTGGTGAAACTGCCCTACAAACTGAGAGAGAGGTGGCGAACCAGAGCACATGACATTATGGAGTCTACTGGATACAGAGCTGGATTCCATGACTTGGTGGAATTTATTGAGCGTCAAGTAAAGATTCTTTCTGATCCTTTCTTTGGTGATCTGCAGGACTATAATTTAAGTGTATCAAATCAAAGAACCTTCAAATCGCAACCAGGAAGCGGAATGAAAGGAAATGTGGTGGCCAGCACTGTAACCGAGAATACACATGGAGACGATGGAGAAAGTAGCCAGACACTATCAACCACAGACCAGAACAACCAGAAAAACTGTTTATGCTGCTCTATGGAACATTCACTGGAACACTGCAAGCAGTTCAATGGGAAACGACACGTAGACAAAGTGCTTTTGCTGAAAAGAAAGGGAGTGTGTTTTGGCTGCCTTCGACAAGGCCACATCAGCCGTGAGTGTCAAGCGAGGCTTACATGTGAAATCTGTAACCAAAGTCATCCTACAGTGCTGCACATAAACCGTCAAACACGTGCCCTGGAAGGTGAAATGGAAACGACGCAAGTACCAACTCCTCACACTACATGTGGACATACAGGGGCCGGAAAGGACCGCACTATGCTACCGGTGCTGCCAGTTCAAGTCAAGGTTGTGAAAGGGAACTGCATAATTCAAACATATGCATTCCTGGATCCAGGTAGTACGGGGACATTTTGTTCGGAAAGGTTGATGCATCGGCTTAATGTAGCTGGAAAACGAACGCACATTCGTCTGCGGACAATGGGTCAGACAAGAAAATGTTCAGCTTTCTCATTGTTCAATCTCGAGGTTGCTGGACTACGTGGCACCCAGTTCTACCCACTTCCAGAAGTCATCACACAGCAACAAATGCCTGTCACCACGCAAGACATGGTTAAATCCGATGATCTGCAAAAATGGCCATATTTGTCACAGGTTCATATGCCATTCATAAATTCAGAGGTTGACTTGTTGATCGGAGCCAATGCACACAAGCTACTGGAACCATGGGAGGTAGTTAACAGTCAAGGAAACGGACCATTTGCAGTTAGGACTGTGCTCGGCTGGGTTGTAAATGGCCCATTGGATAGAAACGCAGATCCTAGTATTCAAAGTGTGACTGTGAATAGGATTTCAGTCTGCAAATTGGAGAAACTGCAAGTAAAACAGTACAACTATGATTTTAGTGAGAATGAAGCTGAAAAGCAAGACACATCAATAGACGATATTAAGCTTATACAAATGATGGACTTGTCTGCAAAATTACAAGATGGAAAATACTGTGTGAAATTACCTTTCAAAAATAACAATGTCCACTTACCAAACAATCTTGCTGTGGCCAAACAAAGGATACAAAGGTCGAAGAAAATCATGCGTAACCTGGAATTCCACCAGAGAGTAAAATGTAAGCACAAGCAAGCAAGTGGATTGAACGCAAGTCCTGTGGCATATAACACCAAAGGCCGCCCAAACACAGTGGTTGAGCCCACAAGAGTGTGTCTAACATTGGACGAGGTGGATAATGCAGAATTCTCCATTATACGTTATTGTCAGCGACAGAGGTTCAAAGATGAATTGGAGGCCCCACAAAACAACAGAAGAGTAAGTTGCCAGAGTTTCATATCTTCTCTGGATCCTGCTCTACAGGATGGATTGTTGAGAGTGGGTGGCAGGCTAAACAAAGGTGCCATGCCAGAGGAAACAAAACATCCGTTAATCCTGGCCAAGGAACCTCATGTAATCAGGCTCATCCTGAAGAGTGCCCATCAAGATCTTGGACATGCAGGACGGATGCATACTCGGTCATCAGTGAGAAGGAAGTACCAGGTTATCAAAGGCAACTCTGCTGTGCGGAAGATTATTGGTAAGTGCAGCATCTGCAGGCAATACACTGCACAACCCTTGGATCAAAAATTGGCAGACTTGCCTGCAGTCAGAATTCTGCCTGACCGTCCTCCAATTACGAAGCTGTCAGAAGATCCACACAATTTGGAACCTATTACACCCAACCGCTTGTTGTTGAGAGGCAAACCCTCCCTTCCTCTTAGAGTTTTCAAACCGGAGGACCAGTATGGACGGAGGAGATGGAAGCAGGTTCAATACCTAGTCGACCGGTTCTGGAAGAAATGGGGTTAGAGTATTTACCTTTGCTCCAGAAGCGACAGAAATGGAATGAAAAGATCTGGCTTTAGGGTATGTTGTGGACATTATGATCCATCGGCCCACGGGGACCTGGGCCTCTTAGAAGAGTTTTGGAGGTATTCCCAGACAGTCACGGTCTGGTTCGATCCGTGAAACTCAAAACAAAATCAAACTAACTTGAGAAGCCAATAGCCAAACTGTGTCTGGTACATGGCTTTTGAAGTCACAAAATAAAGCAGAATTATTTGTCTCCTTTTGTTTTTGAAAATGAATTGCCATGACTGTTTACCATGCCAATTAGGGGCCGGTGTATAGGAGCCAAATATGTGTTTTTCTTTGCGTAATTGGTCTTTGTGTCCATGAGGGGGCGCATTCATCTTTTATATGAATCATGAGCTCAGGGTTGAGTGCAGGTGTGACCCAGAAGGGCAAATTGGTTTTTGACCGCACAAGCGGAGTTTGTTTTTCACTGTTTCTCGTGTGATACCACTGTGGATCCTTTTAATAGCACTGTTAAATAAATGAAGATTATTGCATCGTACCTTTTGAAGACTTGGAGGATTTTATTGAGCACAACAGAGCAACCACAGCATAGCCGCTTAGCGCGTCATCAACAAGCCTGGGTCTACAGCCTCACACTAGCAGCATTGGGCTGGCTATTATACAGCATTTGGTCAACTAAGATAACATTAGTGACTATATTTTGCCAGCCCTATCTGTTGTATCATCTGTGCTTCTCTCTAGGACAGGCTGCATGCTTTCACATATCTTTCCGCAGTAGAATGTTGGTATGTTTGATGCATGCTCTGTTTGTGTTTGCAGAACAATGAAAAGTGCACAGACCTTGAGAAGGAGAGCTGCTCAGGTAATCGCTACGTCTCTACTGCTTTTATTGTGCATCATTGCTCTGTCTCTAGCGTCTGACGCTGTTGCTTCTGTCTCTGGTCTCCACAGCTCTGGACATTGACCAGTGTTTGGCGGAGATGGGTCAGATGGCTGAGGGGAGCACTGGCACTGGGACCAAAGGACTTGAAGAGAGCGTGGGGGGGGCACCAGGGGGCGACAAAGCGCTGCCAGAGCTCGATGTGTGGCCTGAGAGCGGTGTAGCCTGCCCCCTGTGCAAGCGGCTGTTCTTCAGCCTGGAGCAACAGCGGGAGCACGAGTATCACCACACTCTATCCCTCATGGCTCTGTGTATGGAGCTCCCCCTGCCATTACAACCCACAGTACCCACTCAACCCCTGACCCAGCCACTCACCCAACCACAGACCCAGCCTTCAAGCCTCTACCGACCAGCCCTGACCGACGCTGCACCAACTCGCTACTTCTGCAACGAGTGTCCCGCCAGCTTCACCCTCAAATCCAACGCGGACCGCCACAAGAAGACCATCCACATGAAGAAGAAACTGATGCAGTGTGTGTATTGTCTGAAGCACTTTCGGGACCGCACAGACCTGCACCGACACCTGTCCTCGGTCCACTCCAGAGAGCGAGAGTTCACCTGCCGTAGCTGCCACAAGGCCTTCAGCACTCAGAAGAACCTGGCCACGCACATCAAAGTCTGCGGTCAAACTGGAGCTCTACCCGGGCCCGACAGCACTTGTGGGGACCCAGACTCAATGTTTTGGATCAGGGGGTTCAGCTGAAGCAGAGCCAAAAAAAAAAGAAGCTAAAACTTCTATTTAACTAAGCTGAACTTTAACTAAAATCTCTATGCTGTTATGTGACTATGCAAAACCAATATTCAAGGTGCTGAGTGTGTAGGAAGTAAGTCAGGAGTTTGCTGCTGTCTCAACAAACCAAACCACTGTTGTCTGACTGTGTGTCGCCAGTCCCCAGTCTGACTAACCTCTCCTTTTTAGGTAGACCGATCTTTATCTCTGCGCACAACCCTCCATTAAGGGCCCTTAAGCCCCTTTTACATCATGAATCACCTCACAAACAACCACTCCACCCGCAGGAGACAATCAGTATTGCAAGATGTGTAAATTAATCAGTGTATTCAGGTCAATTCAATTCAATATTTTTTTTTACAGCCCTAAATCACAACAGTAGTTATCTCAGAGGACTTTACAAAGCTGTCGATTCACCAACACAGATCAGAGAATCAAATAGTTCAATTACAAGAAATGCAACAATGAAAATAACACATAAAGCCCTTGGTCCATAAAGGGTGGATGACCAATGTCCGTAAATGTTAATAGATAGAATACAATACATGCAAGGTTACTTTATACACTTGTATGTTTGGCATTGATATCTATAGAGAGAACTCAGGTTTGTGGCAATATGCATTTGCAGCATGAATTTTACCCGAGCGTCATGATGATACGTATGTTGACGCCCACTCGCAGATAAGAACAGATAGAGGGATCTTGTTAGTAAAGTGAAAACAATAGACCAGTGTCCTGCTATGGATACTGCTGCTGTCTTTACACATGAGCTATTTAGAGCTAAGGAGTGACCATAACCAAATGAAAATTGGTCCTTCACGGCTTCAAACCTCCTTAAGCCTTATCTCCTCATGTGACAGAGAGGGCAGACGGGTGCTATAGGCCTGAGTTTGCTGCTTGGGAGTTAGTAAGTTATTGTCGTTGTATCACTCCGTTCGTTTTTTTTGTTTTTTTTTTAAATGACATATTATGCAAGATCAGCTTTTAACCATATTGCAATAATCTTACATCATCAAAAACAGACTTGGTGTTGGTTTAGTTTAGATCTATCCATGCTAACATCAGGAACTTCTGGCAAAAACACCACCCCTTCAATCTTAAAGCGCCAGTTTCAGTCCTGTAATAGTATGATGTTAACGTACCACTATGACATCACACTCAAATTAAAACATTAAAAAAAAAAATTACACAGCTCCCTCTGGTGGTAGCATAAGAAAAGGGCAGGTCGATAGCATTATTTACCCTTTATATTTGTCACCATATATTTTTCTACTGAAGATATTTTTTTCACATTTTCAAACAGGACAAAGTCAATCGTCAAATTAACATTTTTAAGGGCTAATGTCACACATAATATTTTGTCTTTGAATGATTGACATAGCTGAAGTGTGAGTGGGCAAAAAACTAAATCTGATTTCTGTCAAACTCTCACTAAGTTTACAGCAAGTCTGCAGAAGCAAAATACCACCTCTACCGTCTCTCTCTGTTCCTATTGTTAATAGGAACTAAAGGAATTTTGTTTCATACAATACATTTTTTATATATTTTGCTTATATTTTTACTCCAAGAACAGAGCTAGTGTCTATTGGGAATCTGTATGGAAGAGGTCTTGGTGCCAATTCATTTGTGAAACTATTCTCAGGTTTAGCACGTTCTGTCCTGGGCAATTTTAATGGACTGGAGTCAGAATACAGACAAAAGCAGGCGGAGACTTCACAGACTAATTCATTGTTTTTTTCTATTGTTCTTATTGTAAATATTGTGAGATTTTGTAATGTATTGTAAATTGATCATAGCAGATATTAAACGTGATTAAATTTACCTACGCGTCTCGCCATTTCTTTCCAATTACACCTTTTTATCAGTGCTATGTTTTGTCCAGTGTTTTGTCCTTGCATGCTTTCTGTAGCATGGAGTGTTTAATGGCAGACGATTTGCGAATGGAGGTAATTATATTGTAGCACTACAGCCCTGTATCGTGCCTGACCCCTCCTCCCCGCTCTGTGTGCTCCATTGTGTGCATATTCAGATCTTTGTCTTCCTAATACTTCCCTTTAGTCACTTTCCCCAAGCAACATCGATTTGATAAGCTGCGTCTGGATCTAGAGCAGTGGTTTTGAAACCAAGACAGTTTTGATAATTCTTTGAAATCATTTCCAAGACTGCTGTTTAAAGGACATACTGGGACGATATATTGACTTGAGTACAATCACATTTCTCCCTCAAAGCAGTTCTAGCCATCTTGTTTTAAGCAGTTTGCATGTATTCAAATTAGAATCGGCAAAGGAACAAGGGGCAGACGACAAGCATATTGAATGGAAAAGACAAGATGGAATTCTCTCCCAAAATGAAGGAAAAACGCAACTGTAAAGACAAAACCATAGTGGTAACTTCAATAACATCTCATTCTAGCTCTTGTAAACCTATTTTGTGTCTTTTATTCACTTACTGAAATAAATGCAGTCTTTACAAATTCTAAATTGAGATTCAGCCCTATTGGTTCTGTTCTGGATTTGCTGAACAAACAAGCTCAAACTTCAACTGAAACCTTGTCCCTGGTTTAGTCTTCGATTTGTCCTGTCTCCACATTCTGTACTTTGTTTGATGCGATGTATTAGTTTAGCCGTGGAATTGTCCTTTGTGTAAAAAGCCAAATTCTGGCTGAGGTGTGACTTTGTGTAGAAACCACTGCACTAGGTTAGACACTGCTATCAAGATGCCTGTGTCTTGTGTCTGGCTCATTCCTTTGACTCTGTCCCTAAAAGTGTCCACAGCAAAGGCTCCTGGTCCTTTTTAGCTCTGAATGTTGTATAGTGTTTATGTCTCTCTGCCATTATTGCTTTAGTGTGAAAGGAGAGCGGTTTCCAGGGAAACTGTAGCTTTGGCGGGGATGGGGGTGACCATGGGATTCAATGATACATTTCTTTATCCATTTATGATAATAATTAATCAAGTTGAAGTTGATACGACGTGTATTTTGAACTCATTGTTGAAATATGATTATAATATTAGTATTTTCAGTGATTTTGATATAATGCAAATAGACAATGTATGCTCTCATAAACAGTACAAATTTGTTGATTATTGTAATTTCCCTTCTGCCGGACTAGTAAAGAATTATTTATGTATTCATTAAAAAAAGAAGATAACAATAGAATTGGATGAACCAGATGCATTGCTGTAAGTGTAGTTTTCAACACTGGTCCACAGGGGGATTTCACATAACATTTCAGGCAATTACAATAAGATTTAGACATGAAAACAATTCGCTCTAGTCTCAATCTTAACCCGTGGTTGAGCTCTCTACTGAAGATGGTCATGTCTGTAAAGTAGGGGTCTCTTTCTCAAATGAAACATAGCTCAATCCTAACCTCTTTCCTCCTCTTTTCTTTCTTCTCTCACAGTGAACGACTTCACCGTGATCCGTAAAAAGTTCAAGTGTCCGTACTGCAGCTTCTCGGCGATGCACCAGTGCATTCTAAAGAGGCACATGCGCTCGCACACCGGAGAGCGGCCTTACCCCTGCGAGATCTGCGGCAAGAAGTTCACCAGAAGGGAGCACATGAAGAGACACACGCTGGTGAGGTCACTGGGGGCCACTAGGGGCAGCAGAGAAACACGAGAGATAGGATTACGTATAACCTCCTATAGAAGGAATACATCTAGTTGTTTTATCTCTGTCTATGCTAATATCAGGGACTGCTGGAACAAATCTACACCAACATCTCCCCTGTCCAAGAAAAGAAACATTTGTATCACACAAACATCCAATTATAAATATTCACAATAGATTAAAAAGAGTGAAGATACAATCCTTTCATTGTCAGAGTAGAAGCCTGTTTTAAATTTTCAGGAAGACTGTTGCAGATATTAGCTATGTAAGAGAAAAGTAAAAAAAGTTAAAATATGTATAAAAGAAATATGCACCGGAAATATGGCGCCGTGGCAAGAGCTCTGGTGTGTGCTGTCCTGGCGCACACTTAGGTAGTCTTGCACACTTTTTCCAATGGGGTTTTACTGCAAATGGCAATTAAATTCTTGAATCTTGAAATTAAATATACTTGTATGTATGTGTATGGAATAATATTGAAGATAAGGTTAGTTAAGAGATATTTTATTCGTCCTACAGTGTGATAATATTGTGTTCCACAAAAAAAGATTACTAATCAAGGAGCCGACTGTGCTACATAAAGTCTGTGACACTGACTGTAAATATTAACAGCCAAAAGTGACGCCTATTTACTCTGTTGAAATGTATGTGATTTAGCATCTTAGCAGGGCTTTCCGGTGAGTCCATTGTCACAAAGATATTCATAAAAATGTAATGTATTTGATTAATTTGTAAATAAATAAATAAATGAAAATAACAAACTTATCGTTTGTAAAGATAATTGTCAATAAAAAGACCTAGTTAAAGGACGTACATGATCCACAATATTTCTTTTAGCGGGCAGATTTGAAGTGGAAATTAATTATAATATTTATGTTCTTTAAGTTCTTTAAAAAAGCATTTGTGTTTTTCTTCTGCTTGTTCTTCTCCCACTCACTCTGACCCTGTGTTTGTGTGTGTGTGTGTGTGTCTCTCTCTGACAGGTCCACAGCAAAGACAAGAAGTACGTGTGCAAAGTGTGCAGCCGAGTCTTCATGTCGGCCGCCAGCGTGGGCATCAAACATGGCTCCCGTCGCCATGGCGTCTGTGCCGACTGCTCCGGACGGGGCATGGCGGCTCTCCTGGACCACAACGGCGAAGTGGGCGGGGACATCTCACCGGAGGAGGAGCTATACGCCGGCGACCGCTTCCAGGACGACCAGGCGGAGTGCGACGGCGACGCTGAGGAGGAGATGATGGCGGACGGAGAGATGATCGGCGAGGCGGAGGAGGAGAAATGGAAAGACTCAGGGATGGAGGACAAGACGCAACGAGACACTGAGAAAGAGGAGAGCGACTCCTCGGAGAATCAGCACAACGGGACAGACAGGGACTTCACTTGGATCTCCTAGGACCTGGACTTCCTGATGTAGACCGGCAGCCATCTTGAGGCGGAACCACTCCTGCTCTCTTCTTACAAACCACTCGCCCTGCAGTGGACCGGCCTCGCCTCCAAACAGAAACGTCCGCGGCGAATAAACTCCAAACCTTTACGTGACAATTTTCGAGCCGATTTCCGAAGACGACAGCGATGGCTTTTTTCTGCTTACCTCTTTCTTCACTCCTGATGCAGTGTTTTTAGTATCTGTTTTGTTGCGGGTTCAGGCCAGGTTTTTCTTGCTGGCTTTTGCTGTTCACAATCATAGTGGACTTCAAGCGTCTACCTTTAGAGAGAAAGAGCGAGAGAGAGAGAGTTTGCCCCGTGTCTGGACCACTGGATGTAATGTTTTTGAAGTGAAGAGTTCTGAAATCTATTGCAAAGAGAAGTGTGTCTCTGCTGAAGAGAGTCCTACTGCCACAGACTTGCACTTTAACTGACTCCACTTTTGACCCAAAATCATGGTTTACATTTTTGATCTTTTATCAAATTGGTGACCGCACCTACCTTTAAGGATATTCACATGTCCTCTTGACTGTTAACACAATGGAGAATCACTGAACCTTTGTGCAGATTGCTGTTTATACATAGCCTATGCCTTTTCAGTGAAACAATCCTCAATCCTTTTCTCTAAACTTAAAAATTGATCCATTCCAACAGAGACTGGAGCTGTACATATACGGTTTAGGAGGTCTGACGCCAGAATCATGCGTGTGTGAGGCTATCTGTGTGTGTTGGAGAGAGGCAGAGAGAGAAAATGAACCACACTTTTAACTCGGGAAGATTTTTTTTCAGGAAGATTCATTCACAGGACAGCGGTGTTTTTGGACCTGAGCTCCTCCTCCTCCAGGGGGCGCTGCCTTCTTCTCTTCCTCCTTCCTCAGTCGATGCGATTTCTAATCAGATTATGCAGATCACATGTAATCATGGAAATCATTTTAGTTCAAAATTTATAGTAATATAAAAAATGCTTTGTAAGAGTTTAATATTGATTTGATCTATTTATTGGAGACGATTGCTCTTCTCTCTGTCTGTTGCAAGAATGTTGAATGTGTGTGTGTCGTCAAAAAAGCTTTTATTGGTTCCTTAAAATTGTTTTCGGCAAATGTTATTGACAATTCAATGGAGGCCGTCTTATTATCATGAGATTATGATTACTGTTGTTGATGTATCTAATTCTTATAATTATTATTAAGTGCTGGATGCTAAGCTTTATTGTGTGTTCTTTTTTGATATTTTATATATTGTATAAGAAAAAAGCTTTTATACTTTGCCTTGATGTGGACAGCAAGCCATGTGCTTTTCTCAACCTTTTCTCAACCTTTTCTCGTGCCAGTTGAAGCTTCTCCGTCGTATTTGCTTTTGGAGCCGAGGGAACCCCCACCTCTCTGCTTGTTGATGATGACACCTGTATTTTAGCACATGCTTTGGCATCCGATGTACACTAATCCAGTACCAAAAAACAATCTTGTAAACATGAAGTGCTTTCGTTGACAGTTTGTGTGCAGGTGCTTATTTATGTCGTGCTTTCGTTGTTTTTGTTTTCTGTTTTGGTTTTCTTTCATTTCAGATAATCGTCACAGTTTTGCAAAGTGCACATTTATAATGTTGTTGTGATTATGAAGGGCTGCTTAAAGGGCCAGCACTCTTTTTCTTTGAAGACTGCATCACATAATTAGAACCCACAGTTTAATTTTCACTTCCGTCACTCACAATCATAGCACACACAGTCATTTTCACATCTGTACGTACGTTTGCGCAAGATTATTTGGCGTTTTTTAAAAAATATTCAAAGGGAAATGCCAGAGAAACATCCGGGGTGTGCGTTCGCTGGTACAATATTACAGTCAGCACATGTTGCCTTTGTGCTACTGGAGCCATGGACTGCACTTCAAAGTACTCCAACATTTCATTTCTATTCATTCTATTCTTCTCCTTTATGTTAATCTTGAAACAGAAAAGAAAAAAAAAAATAGTGAAAAATAGAATGTTGTTTGGAGAGATTCGACAAGAACCAATATCAACGTCTACATTGTGGCCGCATCCCAAACTTCCATATGTATGTGTGTGTGTTACCTGTGTGTTACGTGAGTGTGTGTGTGTTATGTGTGTGTGTGTGTGGCCCTATCCCTTCTACACAATTTGGGTCTTTTCTTCCTTATATGGGGTGTTGCGCTTCAGGAAAAATGCCATCAACCCTTCTTATATGTGCCTCAATGACATCCCACCTGTACACATACACCATTCCTCTGTCTCCAAACCAATCCTTAATTTTAGATGCATGCTTGTGTTGAGTTTTTGTCCAAACCAAAGTGAGGTTATTTTTTATTTATTTTTTTCGACCCGGGAACCCTTATCCCACTCCACTCGAACTGGAATCACTGGCTCCATGCACTGCAGATAAATATGGGTATTTCTTGTACAAATGGCAATCCTCATTTAGCCTGTACCGCTTGACTTTACACGCGCGAAAATCATGAAGCCATAAATATGCGTATGTTGATATAAATATAAAAATTGGCGCTTTTTAATTTTGTAATACTAAGAGTGATGTGTGTGGACCTTTATACAGTATATATTGATTTATATTACTACCTTTATTATTTATTTTTCTTGCTCTCTCAATTTTTTCCCGATCTTTTTGAGTTGTAAAAAGGTCTCACTTGATGTTTTATTTCCGATGGGATTATTGTTCAATATTGACTTTATATTGATGATTACCTTAAACCTGTGTTTGTAACGATATGTGTTAAATAATCAAAAAGACTGTCCTGTTTTGTTTGGGGCAGATGAAGTGCTCTTGTGAAGACTTTTTTTCTTTTTCTTTGGTTGTCAGTACTGATCACAAAATGTAAAAAAAAAAAAAAAGAAAATAAAGAAAAAAAAGATGAAAAAAGTAAAATATTACAGTCAACTGCCTCCCAACGTCGGCGTCGGCCCCAATCGCCACCGAAGCCTCTTTCGAAATGTCATGTTTAGTGGAAACATTAGCTTGATTATTATTTGCAAGAACCAATCAATTAATAAATTTTGAAATTGCTGCTGTAAAGAATGGACCTCTGTGTGTTGTCTTTTTCGTCCACTAGAGGGCGGAAACGCGTACTTACAACTGCCCATATTTACACACCTAGTAAAATTTTTGATTAGGAATAATTGTAAGAACTTTTTTCCCATTCTTCTTTGAAAAATCATAGCTTGTTTTCAGCAATGCAACAAAGATACTGGTGAAACAGGGGAAATTAGAATCATGAGAATGAAAATAGCAAGTCCTCCTTACCCAGTCTGAAGAAAACGTATCAAAGCATCCATTGAAAAACCTTGTTAAAGTATTTTAAGGTGTCTCGAAAACTGTATATTTATTCATAAAATGTAATACGCCTGTAACAAAGCCCTGATTATTAACCAAGCTGTAATTATTTTGATAAGCACAGTATGGATAGAATGTGATTGATTGATAATTAATAGCTGGACAATTATTCTTTCAATTAATCGGTTAGTTGTTTAGATCATGAAAAGTTAGAGAATAACAGAGCTGATGGAGAACACCTTTATGGAGATGGCTGGGACACATTAGACTGTTTATTTTTTGTAAACATATTCCTTATAGTCATTATATATTGCAAAATTTTAATTGGAAAACTTAAATTGAGTGCATTGTGACTGTCTTATAACAAGATTTTCCAATAAGACAAAGCCATTTAGTCTTATTTCAAGCGCAGTTGCTATTTTTTTTAATTCCAAGGGAGACAACTACTAAATCAGTTAAAGTTAAAGTATTTCTTTGTAATACGTTGGATGTGGTTGATGCGATCTTTGAACTTACGCAAACCAAAATATTACCAAAATAAATAAATAAATCATTTCTATTTTGAAATGAATAAGCATGAAATGTGTGCTTCAACTTTTCAGTGTGTTTCAAAAGAGTAGATGAGTTCTTAAAGGATCAGGGATAGTTATTGATAATTTTTTAGATCTTATGTATTTGTTGAGATGACATAAAAAAAAGTGTCATTTATAACTTTTTCTTGATAAATAAAATAAATCTTTGTACATGGTTTCCATATTGTTTAATAGAAGAACAATTAATATTTTGAATTATCCAGTTTATTGTCCAATCAAAAAGCAGAATGAGCGTCATATGCGTTGCCAGATTGAGTGAAATCCAGCTGTTTCATCCTCACCCAACAGCTGCAGCAGTGACCAGAGCAGAAGGAGCAGCTTTTCTCTGTCTGCAGGTAAGACGCACACACACGAGCTTTACATTAGGCATCTCACACTCAGGCCTGTGGGCCCAGTTCGGCCTGCAAGACCCTTTTGAGTGGCCCCTGAAATGATTTGGAACTATTACTATTATAGTTACTTGCAGATTATGGTTGAATCCAAACCTATCAGAAAATAATATCCAAAATCAAAATAATAGACAGAAAAAATTAAGAAATAAAAAATACAACAACCCTTATATACTTTCTAAACTACTTTAACCAGCTCTTATGTTTTTCAATTTGACCCCCGACAAAAATGAGTTTGACACTCCTGCATTGCAAGTATTTGTGGATGCAGATATAAGATAAGTTCCCCAATCAAATCAGGAGCAATGAATTTTTATCCACTCTTTGGTCTTTTTTGGATCATATTTTGGAGAAGGAAGTTTCTGAGGTGCAGATGCAGGAAGAAAAGTTTGAAGAAAGCATGGCATTCTCAAGATGCGAACATTAATTATTTATTCAAGACGTTTCGGCCACAAAGCTTATATCAGATGGTTTCTTTCCGACCAATGATTGACATCTGCAACTTGTGAGCACAACACTTTAGTTAAACTTTGAATACACCTTAGGAAACCCTTTATCCAGTGCTCGAAACTTTACACACCAAGGCAGATGTTTTGACATATTATTGGCCATATTTTGTTCTCTATTTTCAATTTATTTATTAGTTTATTTGACTAGGGACGGTACAAATAAATCAACATTTCTG